TTTGCTATTGTGAATAGCGCTGTAGTGAACATGTGCTTACTGTCTGTGTCATGATTCTTACTTCTTGAGAATGTATTTTACCAAGTAGAGCGATTTCTGGGCCATTGTTGTTGTTAGGTGCTATTGAGTCGGTACTGACTCATAGCGACCTGATGCACAGCAGAATGAAATACTGCCCGATTCTGGGCCATCCTCACTACTGTTGCCATGCTTGAGTCCATCGATGCTGCCACTTGGCCAATCCATCTCGTTGGGGGTCTTCCTCTTTTTCTCTGACCCTCCACCTTACCAAACGTGATATCAGTATTTCTATGTCCAACCTTCTGAGAAAGGACCATACCGTTTTCCACCAAGGCTGCACCGTTTTACGGTCCCACCAGCAATTAGGAGGGTCCCACACCCTTCGCACTCTCTCCAGCATTTGTGTTTTTCTGTTTCTTTTTGAACTTTGCTGTTAATGTTGGAGTAAGGTGATACCTCATTGTTGTTTTGATTTGCATCTCTTTAGTGGGAGTTGTTGTTGTTGTTAAGTTCCATCAAGTCAGTTCTGACCCATAGCAACCTGTAAAAGGTTTCCAAGGAGCAGCTGGTGAACTTGAACCTCCAACCTTGTGGTTCAAATCCACTTTGCAGTCTAGCGCATTAATCCACATTGCCACACTTCTGAGATGCAAATCAAAACAACAATGAGATATCATCTTGGGAGTCCAGGAGGCTTGATGTGGTACTGCAGAATAAGCACTTGACCACAAGGGTGCTTTGAATTGCACGGTCAAAGGTTCAAACCCACCAATTGCTCATTGGAAACCCCATACAGGGTCACTGTGGGTTGGAACCGAATTGATAGCACTTAACAAGAAGAATGGGAGTCCTGGTGTGGTGCTGCGGGCTAATGCGCTGGACTGCAAGATCGGTTTGAACCACAAGGTTGGCAGTTCAAGCTCACCAACCACTCCTTGGAAACCCTATACAGGGTCTCTATGGGTCAGAACCGAGTTGACGGCACCTGGCAACAACGCCAATGGCTAATGGTCCCGACCATCTCTTCATATGTTTGTTGGCCGCCTGAATGTCTTCTTTGGTGAAGTGTCTGTTCATGTCCTCTGTCTATTTTTTTCAATAGGATTATTTGTCTTCATGGTTGGGTGTCCTGTAAATTTTAGACAGTAGTTCTTGTCTGATATGTCATTGCCAAATATTTTTCCTGTCTGTGATGTGTCTTTTTACTGTTTTGGTGAAATCTGATGTGCGTAAGTGTTTAGCATTTAGGAGGTCCGCATCATCTATTTTTGGATATTTTGATAAAGTGAAGGGTCGGAGAAAAAGAGGAAGACTCCCCCAAGGACTTGGTTTGGCTCAGTGGCAGCATCAGTGGGCTCGAACGTGGCAACGATTGTGAAGTTGGCCCAGGATACGGCGGTGTTTCGTTCTGTTGTACATAGGGTCGCTATGAGTCAGTACCAACTCAACAGCACCTCATGACAACAGGAAGTTATCTATTTTGTCATCTGCTGTTTGTGTGTTTGATAGTGTTTTTATGTCATGAATGTGAGTCCCTAAATTTGTCCCTGTTTCTTCCTTGGTGCTCTTTATATTTCTAGGATTTATACTTAGGTCTTTAATCCACATCGAGTGTGCTTTTGTTGTATACGATGTGGGTGTTGTTTCGGCCTTCTGCAAATGAATGTCCAGTTTTTCCAGCACCGTTTGTTGAAGAGACAATCTCTTCCCTCATTTAAAGTGCTTTTTGTCAGAGATCAGCTGAGTAGAGGTGGATCGGGTTATTTTTAGGAACTGGTTTTGTACACCTGATTCTCTGTACTGTCTGTAATGAATGCCTTTCGGTGTGGGGGTGAGCTTGGTAAGCCGGCTCATTTTATAACGTCTCCAAATGCTGACTGTCACTGGGGCATGGAGTCGGCGGTGTAAGCCAGAGTCCTAAAACGGAACACTGACCTTACTATGTTCTAAACATAGTCTAGACACTGTACAGGAAGTTTGTGCTCTCTGGTCAGCACACAGTGTGCTTTTGCCAAGCATTTAATAACTGGCCACTGCCTGCCTGTCATCCGTACTGTACTGTGGTGGTTTGTGTGTTGTGAGACCCCAGATGCGACATCACCAGTATCAAATACCAGCAGAGCCGCCCACGGTCTTAGTTTTATCCGATAGTTTGCAAAACAAACCAGTTTTTCATCCCACAACTCACAGCCCTTCTGCGGCTTGTCATTGATTGCAATCTCTTTTGCGGCTCACTTCCTCCTAGTGGTTCCCTCTTTGTTTTGTAACCCTTCCTGCTTTCTCTACTCCGGCCCTGGCCAAATGCTGTCCTTTGGGTCTTGAAAACTTGGTTGTTGTAAAGAATGCACAACTCTCTGGTGTTGTTGCTCCTCTTACGGACATGACATTGTGTTTGGCTGGAAATTGAGACCCGGGGTGCGTTCAATTTCAAGTCTGAAGAATGACAGATGATCATAGTTTTGGGGTTCGACCTGTCTGTCCATCAGACCATGTCTTTTTCTTTCTTTGTTTTTTTAAGCTTGTATTGTGAATTGAGTGATAGTTTACAAGGGATAACATCAGTTTTGCACTCAAGCTATCGGATTTTGTTTCATTGCAATGATGACAATCCCCTCCATGTAATATTGTTTAACAGTACTTGCTTCTGATCCTTCTATTTTTATTTCTTTTTTAAATGTACACAAAAACACTCAGGAATATGTAATCATTTAAGCAACCAAAGGGCCCATTCTGCAAGCCTGCCTCCTGGCTGCCGGCTCTCAGTCCCTCTCTTCCCACGAATCTAGAGTACTCAGCTGCTCCCTCCCTTCTTGTCCCCATCTCTGCCTCTATCTCTGCTGCTCTTGATTGGTCCATAGCTTTAAATCATCCTTTTCTACAGCATAGACACCTCCTGCCTATATGTTAAATGAGTACTGTCTTCAGGTTAAACGTGGGTTAAACCCCCCGCCCCCCCGCAGATTCGCTGTCAGATCAGCACTGGACTGTGAACCACAAGGTCGGCAGTTCAAACCCACCAGCTTCTCCTTGGAAACCCTATTCAGGGTCGCTATGTGTCGCAACCGGCAGAATTTATTTAAGTTCAGTAAAAGGACCAGTGTAAAACATTAATTACGCCCTAAATCATGCAAACAGGTGCCTTTTAGAAGTTACCTTTTTGTTCATTGTCAGTTGTGAATGCGCATTGCCGAAGTTTCTTGCCGAGTTATGATATAAAATATCTTGTTTGTGTATGCAATTGAAATAAAGCTTTGCTTTACTGAGTGGGAGAAATGGTTAATTATACAAGGAACGTAATTTCTGTGCAATTAGACTTGGAAAGTACAGAGTCACAAAGAAGGAAATGAAGATGAAGCGCGGCATCATTGTGCTTTTTCCTCCTGAAAATATGCTCAACGATTGTGTCTTGAAATACTTGCTTTGTTCTCTCTCTCTCTGTCTCTTTCTTGTCTCCTTCTGGGATCCCACTAATATGGTATATTAGACCACGTACAAGCCCACAGAACTTGGAACCTTTATTCCGTTGACCCTTTTGGATTTTGGGTTGAATTCTTTCTTTTGACTTACAAACTCCGACTGCTTCTAACTCTCCCAATCTCCCAACAAACGACTCAGTTGTGTTGAGTGTATTGATGAGGTGCTGAGAGCAGTTGATGTGCCTGAGAGTGTGGCTGTGAGTGAGAATGGACCCATTGGCAGTGGCTTTGGTTTATTTGTGTGTGGGGGGAGTGGAGTGGAGGGCTTCAAAAAGTTCAAGGAAGAATCCATGATGGCATTTAACAACAAGAATAGCTAGTGGATTTGAACCACTGACGTTGCAGCTCAAACCGATATAGGATCAGCACTCACTGTACTCCAGTCTGACCTCGTGTCTTCAAACACACAGGTCTGAGATCCAGGTGTGGGCACGGCTGGCTCCTTCTGGAGGTTCTGGTGGTGGTGGTGGAGGGTCCTCCCTGATCCAGCTCCTAGGGGCCCCAGGTGTTCTGGGCTTGTGGTCGCATCTCTCCCATCTCTGTCTCCACCTTCACACGGCCCCTCTGTGTCTACTCTCCTCTGATAAGGACCCCACTCATATCGGATCAGGACCCTCCCTACTCCATTGTGACATGAAGTTGGAAGCATGACACCCTTTGGCCTTGTGCAGTATTTAAGGATTCATTCTCATCGAAGTGCATCCTTCGTTTAATCCTCAGCCAAGTGAATGGTTAACTGCCCTTCCATCCATTGAAATGAAACGTTGTCCGGTTCTGCGCCAGCATGCCCACAATCCATTGTGGATCAGATCTTTGTGATTCATAAGGTTTTCACTGGTGGATTTTCAGAAAGAGATTGCCAGGCATTTCTTCCTGGTCTCTCTTAGTCTGGAAGTTCCAGTGAAAGCTGTTTAGCATCCCAGCCCCACACACAAGCAGCCACAGACAATCAATGGGTGGAGGCCCATGCATGAGACGCTCTCGCTGGGAATTGAAGCTGGGTCTCCTACACAGAACAAGAGAATTCTACCCCTGACCCGCCCAGTCACAGAAGTGAAGATGAGAACAAGACACTGTTCTCTTGGGATCCATAAGGTTTTTATTGATTACTTTCTGGAAGTAGGTATCCAGGCCTTTCTTCCTGGTCTCTCTTAGTCTGGAAACTCCACTGAAACCTGTCTACCATGGGTTAACCAATACTGATGGCATAGCTTCCGGCATTCTATCAGACATTGTTCTCTTGGAATCCACAAGGTTTTTATTCATTACTTTGTAAAAATAGGTTTCCAGGCCTTTCTTCCTGGTCTGTCTTAATCTGGAAACTCTGCTGAAACCTGTTTAACATCCCAGTCACACACAAGCCTCCACAGACAGGTGGGTGGAATCAGACCCAGGTCTCTCACGTGGTAGGCAAAGATTCTACCTCAGGCGCTTCACTTCCTCTGTAAGAATGTATTCTACTTTTAAACCTTATTTGGATTTTTTTTTCTCTCTCTTTTGCAGTGTTTCCTCCACAACCAGATCGTGTTGCCATAGTGACAGGAGGTACGGATGGAATTGGCTATTCCACGAGCAAGCATCTGGCCAGACTTGGCATGCACGTGATCCTAGGTAATGCATTCCGCAGATAATGGGTTTCAGAGTTCATGTAAAATGAGCCATGCTGCATTTATGGTTGCTTAAAGACATTGAAGGAGTCCTGGTGTGGTGCTGTGGGTTAATGCACCAGATTTTCAAGCTGTTTGAACTGCAAGGTTGGCGGTTCAAGCTCACCAGCTGCTCCTTGGAAACCCTATACAGGGTCGTTATAGGTTGCAATTGACTTGACGGCACTTAACAACAACAACAACAGCAAAGACATCAAGGTACATATAGGCAGAGCATTCCAATGCAGAAAACGTGTTAAGGCGGTGTTTACAAACTGAGAGTCAATGGATGGGACTACGAGAGTCAATGGATGGGAATACGATTTATGCTTTGATACTGAGTACATACAAAGGGGTTTCAGAACGTGCCTTGGGAAATTCCATCATTGTTTCATTCCATTTGTTTTCCCACAAACCTTTTCAAGTCTTGTTGAATTTTTCCATGTGTCACTGGGGGGACCCTCCCCTTCAACACGATAAATATGAACATGTGTTTAGAATATCTGAACCCTTATCCACCACTCCAAGGGAGAAGGATGAGGCTGTGTGTCCCTGTAAAGGTTTATAGTCTCTGAACATCCTATACAGCATCGCCGTGAGTTGGAATCCACTGGCTGGCTGTGAGTTTGGGTTTGGTTTTGTTGTTAAAGTATATAGACATTCAACATTTGATGTCTGTCCTTTATTGTCATTTCTTTGGGGTAATTTCTGCCATGGTTTACTTGGGAAGATAATGATGAGTTGTAGTTGAGTTGGGAGACTCCAAACAACAACAAGGACTGCAAACCACAAGGTCAGCAGTTCAAGCCCACCAGCCTCTCCATTAAGATATATATATATATATTTTAAATAAAGCCTCAGAAATCCTAAACAGGATTGCTATGAGTTTATGAGTTGGAACCGACTTGCTATCACTTAACAACCACAAGTTGGGTAGGTCCTGTCTTAGTTTTCAAGCTCTGCTGTATTAGAAATATCACAAAGGGGTGGCTTTAACAAACAGAAAGTTATTTTCTCACAGTTTAAGGGGTTGGAAATCTGAATTCAGAGCCTCGGCTGTAGCTGAAGGCTTCTCTCTGTCACCTTCCAGCGAGTGTAGGTCCAGCATTCCTTGGAACTCTCCATGCATCTTGGCATGAATTTTCCCTGCATCTAAGAGATGCCAACCACATGGACTCTGGTTCTGAATGACCCACTTCATTCCTGGCTCTTCTTTATTGGTAGTATAGCAGACCCTACCTCTCAAGTTTGCTTGTTTGAGCTGTTTTAATATCTCAAGAGAGATTGACTCAAGATACAATGAAATCCTGTATATTGTATTCTACCTCATTAACGTAACTGCCAATAATCCAGTCTCGTTAACACCGTAAAGGTGAAGAAAGAACTTAGAACATAGAGCCATTATATCCTATCACAAAATGAAGGATTGTATCATAATTTTGAGAATCATGGCCTGGACAAATTAGCTCCAATTCACATCCACACAAGTCATGATGGGGTGCAGTTGATAAATCCTCATGTGCCGTGGCTGACAACTTCTGAAGGGTTAACCACTGAAAACCCTACGAACAAAACAGGACATTGTCAGGTATAGTGCCGGACTACGAGCCCCTCAGGATGGAAGGCATTCAAACACGTCTGTTCTCAAAGTAGAGTTGACCGTGATGATGTAGATGGATGGAGTAAAGCCCTCGGGACATTCCTTTTCTGGTGGGGTACCCACCACGCAGAATGAGGAGAAGCACCTGTAGACATCCATTAATAATCAGAATGTGGAATGTACAAAGTGTGGATCTAGGGAAATTGGAAGTCATCAAAAATGAAAAGGGATGCGTAAACATGGATATCCTATGACAGCCTGGTTTGGGCCATCTTGAATCTGAGAATGTTATGGTTTACCACAATAGGAATGACAAACGGTAGAGGTATAGTATAGCATTGATCGTCAAAAATAAGATGGAAGGAATACACAGAGTCACTATGTCAGAAAGAATTGATCGATGTTCAACCATTTCAAGAGGTACCGTATGATCAAGACCGGATAATATTGAAAGAAGAAACCCAAGGCGTACTGAAGGCACCGCAAAGAACACGCCTCCAGGAATTGATGGACTACAAATTGAAATCTTTCAACAACCTGATAGAGCACCGGAGGCACTCACTCATCTCTGCCAAGAGATTTGGAAGACAGCTATGTGGCCAGCTGACTGGAAGAGATCTAAATGTGTGCACATTAAAAAAAAACAAAGATGACCCAACAGAATGTGGATGGAAATCATTGAACAGAATCATTAATATCACATGAAAGTAACAGTTTTTTTGGGAAGACCATTCAAAAATGGTTGCAGCAGTACATCAAGAGGGAGTTGCCAGAAATTCAAGTCGGATTCAGAAGGGGATGTGGAACCAGCGATGTCACTGCTGACGTCACATGGATCTTGACCAAAAGCAGAGAAAATGCAGTTGGGTATGTAGTGGATTATTATATTTAATATTGTTGAAGAGTTGGACATACGTATTCATCTTCTTCTTCTTGAAGTAATTTGTCTTTAGAGACTCCTCGTTCAAAAGACCAGCGTTTATTTACCCAATGACAGAGTTCAGAAGGGATCGGAATGGAGGAGGAATGGAAACAGGAAATGCAGGGAGGAAGTGGGATGAGTGATATTCCTTTGAAGGGCTCACAACCAGTGACGTGAAACAAAATGTGGAGGAATTGTTGACTGGAAAACTGACGATCTGCTCTGGCAACCTTCATCTAATTCGCAAAAATAAAACGAAGTTTTAATTGAGGTTATAACCCGGATTCAACTCAAACACATTGAGATTGCTATGAATTGTTTCGTTATTCAATTTCCTATCTTTTAATGAGATTTTGGAGTCCCGGTATGGTGGTTTAGAATCAGCACTGGAGTGTTAACCACAAGGTTGGTGGTTCAAACCCACCCACGGCTCCTCAGAAACCCTGTACAGGGTCCCCACGAGTCACAATTGACTGGATGATACTTCACAACAACAACAACAAGTGGTTACATGTACAGCGAGGTACCCACACCATAGAATGGTTAAACATCCAAGAGCAAAAGGACAGCATTTACCCAAGGACAACGTTCAGAAGAGTTGGGAAAAGGAGGACCGGGAACAAGAAACACAGGGAGGAAGTAGGAGACATGTTGGTTCATAGAGCGGATTGTAACCATCGAGATGAAACTCAGTATATGATTTGTTGCAAAACTGATGATCTCTCTGTGGGCTCACTCAGTTCACACACACACACACACACACACAAAGTTAAAAACAAAACAAAACACAAAATAAACCTATGGAGCACAGTTTTACTCTTCAACAACTGTATTTGTTTTTGTTTTTAGTTTAAAAGTACAGGTAATTTCAGAAGTATCCTAATGTACAGAGATAGCAAAAAACCTGCTTTGCCGTATATCCCTGTTGCCTTGGCCGCCTAGAATCACAGCATTTAAAGATGTAAATAAGTTTTCTGGCTATCTATTACGTACCTTACAGCTCACCCCCTAGTGTTGCAAGACCCTCAAATCAAAACTCCCATCCATGTTCAGTTTTTCTTTCTTTGAGGAAACGAGAGGCGGGAATTACATTTACAGCCTCATCTTGCCGATGGGGCTAGCTTTGAAGTGCTTCAAGGACGCCCTGGTTTATAGATTTCCTTTCCGCAGGTCCCAAAGGGTGTGCTTGGTAATATTTATCTGAGATGTGGCCAGCCAGCCGGAGCCAAAGACATTTCTGAATCTGTTAACTATTTTATTTTAACTCAAGGCTGTAAACAATAAAGATAGAATTGTTATTCATTTTGAAAGGGCGTTGTAAGAATTAATTGGGGGCTCGTGGCATTGATGGCAAAGAAATAACAGAGAATGCTGTTATTAAATGCTATCCAGTCGGTTTCAACTCATAGCGACCCTGTATAGGATTTCAGAGGCTGTATAGCTCTGCAAGGAGTCCTGGTGTGGCGCTGTGGGTTAACGCCCCAGACTGCAAAGCTGTTTGAACTGCAAGGTCGGTGGTTCAAGTTTACCAGCTGCTCCACGGAAACCCTATACAGGGTCTCTATGGGTTGGAATTGACTCCATGGCACTTCACAACAATGTATCTTTGCATTAAGCAAATCTGCACAAGACCTTTTTAAAGTGTTCAAGAGCAAAGATGTCAGTTTGAGAACTAAGGTGCGCCTGACCCACGTCATGGTATTTTCAGTAACCTCATAGGTATGTGAAAGCTGGACAGTGAATAAGGAAGACCGTAGAAGATCGTAGAAGAGTTGATGCATTTGAATTACGGTGTTGGAGGAGAATGTTGAAAATACCGTGGACTTCCAGAACAAACAGATCTCTGTTGGAAGAAGTGCAGCCAGAGTGCTCCTTAGAAGCCAGATGGCCAGACTTCATCCCTCAGACTTCGGACATATTGTCAGGAGGGACCAGTCCCTGGAGAAGCCCCAAATGGTCAGTGGTTTGAACTCAGTAGCTTCTCCTTTAGAGACAGTTGTAGCTGTCTGCTTATATAAAGATCCTATGTGATGGAGCCTGGGCAGTTCTACTCATGTCCTGTAGTGTCACACTGTGAGACTAAATCAATTTGATGGCAGTGGGCTCACCCAGGGTGGATAGTTTTATTGGAGCTTGCAGAGTAAGAGCAGGAAGAAAGGCCTGGTGATCTACTTTTGCAAACGAGCCAGCAAAAACCCTACGCATCAGAGCAGAACATTATCCTCAGCAGGGACTCATCGCCGGAGGGTGGCGTTGCGTTTGCTGAAGCCGAGGGTCCGGTCAGCGATGTTGAGGAAGACTGAACAATGGTGTTTGCTCAAGTTGCACATGGGGTCACCGTGAGTTGTGCTCAGCTCAACATCAGCTGCCACCGAGTGGCGGAACGTGGGTGGTGGAAGGTGTAACCGAGGCGAAGTCAATTGAGGCCACACGCAGAAATGCC